GACTCTGCAGAGACGGAGGGCAGGTGAGCAGGCACTGGGGCGGGGGCGGGGGCGGGGGCAGCTGAGAGGGCCAGGCGGACCTCAGTGGTAGTGGGAAGTGCTAAAACTGAGCTGAGAGGCGTGTGCTGCCCAGAGTGTCCTGAAAAGGGAGTGCATGAAGATGCGTGGGTTTTACGGTATGTGAATTATCCCCCAATAAAGCTGTCAAACACGTGCACACACCCTTCACATGGGTCTAGAAAGAAAATAAACTGCGAACCGAAACAAAAAGCAAGGCCAGCAGGTGGCATGGAGGTTAAGGTGGCTGGCTCTCACAACGGTTCGAATCCCAAACCCCGTGGCTTGAAAACCTTGTTGGGCACGTGTCTGCGTGTCCAAAATCCTGAGAACGGAGAAGGGATGGTGGCATGGCCATCCCCCAGGGGGTGCTTTCTCATTCTCCCTCTGTCTCGCTCTGCTGCGTGCACGCACCCTATACCACAAATTTAGGAAACAAAAACAAGTCGGGGTGGTCCTGACCCGTAAACGACATGCAAGGAGAGGCCCCCTCGTGAGTGTGCTCAGCAGCACAGGAGAGCGGCGAGGTCGCCACCCTGGAAGCAGCTCGAGCCTTTGTCTTTGTAGATCCTTCCTAGATGCCTTTCGCGTACAGGGGCGGTGAGTTCTGGGCGTCAACCAGATTGGACTAGGGAACACCTAGACGTCTGGCAAAGTGCTTTGGGCATCCTCGAGACACCGTCCTGAGGCTAAGCAGGCTGGGTGTGGCGGCTCGGACCCTCGACGTGGGTGGGCATCACCCCTCAGCAAGGGTGGAGAGACCTGACAGAGAAGCAGAGTCGCAGGTCAGACAGAGCTGGGCTGGGCAGACCTCTGTCACCACGGCCACAGAACTCAAGGCTCTTCTGCCTCCAGACTCCGGGGTTCATGCCAATGACTGCCGGGCTCTCGGGCCTTCAGCCTCTGACTGAGCTGCGCCATCGGCTGCCCTGCCTCTAGGCCTCGGCCCCTGGACTGACCAGGCTGCAGTGCTCCAGAGTCTCCGGCTTGCAGGAGGTCTGCCGTGGGACTTCTCAGCCACCGTAATCACACAGGCTGACGCCTTCCAACATATCCCCTCCTGCACCTTCAAGGGGACCCGCAGGACAGGCCAGGAGGTCTTATAGGGTGTCGTGTTGTCTTCTTCCAGCAACACTGCGAGACCCTCCAAGACCCTCCAAGGTATCAGCAGACCCTAAAGGGCCTCTGCCCATGCCCGACACGCTCAGTGCTGAGGCCACTGTTCATCTCACTCCCATGTGGACTCCTTTCAGGGGCTTCTGTCAGGCCCAGAGAGGTGCTTCAGAGTCGCCAAGCCAAGCCCTGGTTGGGGCCTGGGCACAGTATATCAGATCTTACCAAGGCAGCCGGGTGTGCCGCACTAGGTCTGCTGCCTTTCCCACGCACCCGGCACGGTACCGTTTTGTCTGCTTTGCCCCCAGACAGGGTCTCTAGCCAGGTGCAGGTCCTGCTGCCTCAGCCTTCCAAATGGGACTACGGGCGTCCCCTCCAACCCCGCTGTTTCAGACAGGGTCTTGCTGTGGTGTCCAGGCCAGCCTGGAGCTCCCGATCCTCCTGTCAGCCTCACCAGCTGCTGCCGTGAGAGGTGCACCACCACGCCAGGCTTTTAGCTTGGCCAGGTGAACCCAGGCTCCCACGTGGTCCCTACCTGCAGAGCACCAACGTAGCAGCGTGCCTCCGTGGCTAGGCCTCAGCACTGCATAGTCTGTCTTTTTCTTTTTTTCCCTTTTTTTGGAGAGGTTTTCGCTATAGGGCGCGTGCGCTCACCAGACAGACAGAGAAGAGACAGAGAGACAGAAAGCGAGAAAACACTCCCCAGGGGGGATGGTCACGCCGCAATCCCTTCTCCTCCATTCTCCTCCCGGGATCTTGGGCACACATGCACACACGCCCGGCATGAGTTTTAAGCCACCGGGTCCAGGACGTGAACCGCGGTCAACTATGTGGGAGTCCAGCGACATAGCCATTACGCTAATTGCTGGTTCCCTGTCTTTCTTTCTTTTAAGAATTATTTTTTAAATTTAATTAATTCATTCATTTATTTTAATTTGACCAGAGAGAGAGAGAGAGAAAGTGAGAAAGCAAGGTGCCAGGTCCAGGACTTGAACCGTGGTTGGCCATGTGGGAGTGTCCAGAGTCTTAATCACCACACCACCTGCTGGTCCCCTGCCTTTTCTTTTTTAAAGTGCCAGAGGGTGAGTGAGTTTGCCAGAGAGGGACAGGGAGAAAAGGAGGAAAAAGCACCCCACACAGGGCATGCCACTACCCCTTCTCCATCCTGTTAGGACGGGGGCACAAGCACACACGGACCGGTTTATTTCAGGCCTCCAGGGCCGGGACTCAACGAGTGCGCAGTCAGCCAGGTGGGGTCCAGCTCCCTTTACCATCAAGTCATGGGGCTGGTGCCAACAGCACACTTGGACGTCTTGGGGTTTTTTTTAGGTTTTTGACATAGAGCACGTGCACTTACCAGAGAGACACAGAGAGAGGGAGAGGGAGAGGGAGAAGTCACCCCCAGGGGGACGGATATGCCAGTTTTTGCATTCTCTTCTCAGGATTCTGGGCGTGCATGCACACACACCCAGCCCAAGTTTCTTTCTTCCTTTTAAAATTATAATTATTATATACATGCTAATTGTAGAGAAATTTGGGGAAGACATTAAGAAATAAAAATTTGGTGGGGGGTGCGGGCTGGCAGGTGGCATGGTGGTTGGGGGTGCTGGACTCCCACATGGCCAGTGGTGGTTCAATTCCTGGACCTGGTGGCTTGCTTTCCCACTTTCTCTCCCCCTCCTCCCCTCCCTCTCTAGTCAAATTTAAATAAATTATTTAATAAAGCTGAATAAAACAATTCTTAAAAAAAGAAAAAAATTCTTATATTTCCAGAAGAGATGTTTTCTCAGGTTCTTCATTGTCCCTTCTGCTTCTGTACATGTGCACGCGCAGGAGCACGCACACAGACATGGCCACGCTTTCTTTTTTTTCTTTTTTTGGAGAGGTTTTTGCTATAGGGCACGTGCGCTCACCAGAGAGACAGAGAGACATAGAGACAGAAAGCGAGAAATCACCCCCCAGGGGGAGATGGTCACGCCGCAATCCCTTCTCCTCCATTCTCCTCTGGGGATCTTGGGCACGCACGCACACGCGCCCGGCGTGAGTTTTAAGCCACCGGGTCCGGGACGCGAACCGCAGTCAACTACGTGGGAGTCCAGCGACATAGCCATTACACTAACTGCTGGTTCCCATAGCCACGTTTTCTAAAGTTTAGATCCTAGCTATACATAGTTTTGCCTCTTTTACTTGATATTATACCTTGATATTTTCAGTGTCATAAGATATTCAAAAACATTACTGAATGAACATAACGTTTTATCAAATAGTTCTACCAAAGTTTCAAGCCACTGGGTCCAAGACTCGAACCATAGGCTGCCATGTGGGAGTCTAGCAACTTCACCAGCACGCCACCTGGGCCTCCAACTGTGCCTTTTTAAACAGTGCTTGAACTGCACACAGGTGGAAAGAGCACCAGGGCAGGGCCGAGCGCCACTGCGCAGCCAGCAAGCTCATCACTGCAGCCACACGTGTGCTCCAGGCCACCGTGAGTGAGTGCACTGGTCATGTCTGCTCTGGTGGGTACAGTGCGTGCAAGAAGGAAGGCTGAGGGCGGTGCCCCGATGTGCTCCTCGCCACGTCTCAGTGGGCCTGTGGCCACTGTCTGGCTGATGGTTGACGGAATCCCGGCCTCGGCCCCGGAGCACCTCACCCTCCATAATATCATGCCCCTCAAGGCAAAACGAAAACTGGATTGAAAAAAATGATACGGTAAGTTGTTATCTTTTAAAACATGAGTGTGACCTGGCCACAGCGCGCATATGCAGGATTCTTCAGGGCCTTACCAGAGCCAGCTAGGAGCCAAGGAGACCAGGAAGGAGGCCCTACCCCCGGGGCTGGGGAGGAGGAGGACGGGGAGGAGGCCTCAGCCTTCCACAGGGCACTGGGGTGGAGCAGCTCTGAGCCCCGGCAGGTGCAGACAGGCTCTGTGAGTGACCAGGACTGCGGCGGCCGGAGCACACGGGAGGGAGGGCGGCCGGGGTGAGGAGGCCGAGGACGCGGGCACGTGGGAGAGGACGCTACCTTGCGCTGGCAGAACGTGGAGCAGTAGTTGACCTTGTGGCAGCCGGGGGACTCACTCATGGCCT